TCTCTCTCTCTCTCTCTCTCTCTCTCTCTCTCTCTCTCTCTCTCACACACACACACACACACACACACACACACAAACATACCCACACACTTCCATACAAAAGCAGCCTCAGTTTCAGCGTGCTCTGCCCTGCCCTGGCAACCAGATGTTCCCAGGTAAAGTGATCTCTCCTTATCATGGGAACGGTCCAGATTCAATGGAGTATGATGGAGTATATTGACCTGCCTTTGGTCCGTCTTACTCATCCGCATGGGAGAGTCTGTGGTGCCAGGAAAAGTCACCTGGAAACAAGTATGTCACAAAGCTCCACAGTTGGTTGAGTAAAGCCTGCCAGTGTGCTTTTAGAATGCTTTCTTTCTCATTAATTTACAGATAAACTGCAAAACAGAATAATCAGTATGTAAATTGAAATGATCAAATTAATCAAAATCTATATCAAACATAAGCCACTATGTTCATATGAGACTACTTAAATAACACTAGCAGATTTTCAGCAACAAACTCTCTTCTCTAAATAAAAGCTTATGGATCAACTGGGTGAAATGCCAAGTCATAAAAAAATTATTCTTTTTTAAATTTAACTGTCTTTGCCAAGAAGGAACATAAATTTTTCAGAAATTTTCTTCTTTAATCCTATTTAGGATTATACCCCATATAATTCTTAAAACAGATATGAGGTAGATAAGAATTATATTAATTAAAAGGCATTAAATGAATAACAATGTAAATAACTATTGTATAAATTATCAAGGACATTTTCTCTAATCAGCCTTCTAAGGCAGCTCTGTCCAACAGAAAAATGAGCCACCAAGGCAAGCCACATATGTATTTCCTAGTAGCCACATTTAAGAAGTAAAAAGGAACAGGTAAGATTAACTTTAATAATATATTTTATTTAACCCATTATATAAAAATTATCATTTCCATTTGTAATCAAGATAAACTTGTAATTAAGGCACTATTTTATATTTTTTATACTTAGTCTTCAAAATCTGGTGTATATTTTATACTTACAGTGCATCTCAATTCAGACAAGCCATATTTCAAGTGCTCAGTAAGTCACATGTGGCTTGTGGTTGTGTGGTGCTAGGGAAAGGTCAATTTCACATGCATACTGTGCTACTATATTAGGTGATAGGAAAAAATGATGAATAAAACATGAGGGCAAAATGCAGGAATTCTTTTGAGCTAGGGACCTTCCTAGTGGGTCCAGGACTACTAGCCTATTTGTACCTTTCTGCAAATTAGAGACTCTCTTCTTCCCCAAGTAACTTGACTCCCATCTGTCAGAAAATGGACATAATACGCCAATTTTATTAAAACAAGATACTCTACTACCATCAGCCAGAAAAATGTTTTAATAAATATCTAAACCTATGATGCCTACAAAGTAAATGAACAACCCTCCCTTAGATGCAGCACCTTTGATCAGTGCACAACCGGTACAATTGTCCCAGAAGCCTTGCTGGTTCCCTTAACCTAATTCTGGCCATGGCACTTCTCCTCTTCCCAATTCCATCCCTGCCTGCATTCCAACCAACATCAGAAAAGCAGGACTTTGTAATACTACTTCACAAATTCCATTGCGTGACACTAGCACAAATTGTGAAGAAGGTACATTTTTTTGTATCCTGGCCTCCTTTACGTGTATTCCACACATAACCCCCCAACGTGCTACCTTCCTCCTTCAAGAAAGGCCAATGGATAACCTATACTTCTAATGAATTACCTTGACCTCCCATAGCCTCCCGTAGATTCTAAAAGCTAGGCAGAATCAGGACATTCCGCCTTAACACAACCTGCTTTCAGAGAAGGTTCAGATGGCAGTCTTGAATTCTGCATCACACATTTAATACAATACTTCATTTTCTAAGGGGTTTTCACATTACAAGCAGCATTCATACCATGCGATAAAAGTCTACATTCTCAGTTAAATTAATTTCAAGCATCGTTAAGCAAGTAAGAGGAGGGGCATCTTCCTGTCCTGTCATGGCTGAAATGTTGTTAATGAAATGGAAACCTACCTTGCCTTGGTCATGACCCTGCCAGACAGGGCTATCAGCTGTGATTTTTTTCACATTTCTCCATACCTCTGCCATATAACATTGAAATCTCTGCTAAAGTTGATTCTTCAAGTGTTCTTGAAGAATCAAGAACAGAATAGGTTCCCTGCCTATTCGATTTGTGGGTGTCATCCTTGAGTTTACCACATATTACAAGTATTCACATTGTTTACATTTATTTCCAGGAAAGTAATGCTATGGCCCCGATTTAAGATTGGCACGATAAATGATACTTATCAACCAGTAAACTTCAAGTGTTTTAATTAACCAGTAATAGCCTTGTTTTTAAATGAGTCCTTCTTCATTCTAAAGCTTAGGAAATAGTATGAAATTTTGGGTTTTTGATTCAATACTTTGAAGTATTTTTTTAAATTGTAAGCGTATGTGAAACTGACTTATCCATTAGGCAAAGAAGCCACAGCACCCAGGGCCCACAATAGTTTTAGTGGCCAATGAAAATGTTTTAATTTCTTTTAAATTGAGGAGGAAAATAAATATAATCTAAGCTAGATTACATTCAACTTTATACCAATACAATTGTAAAACATAATTTTTAATATTTTTATGGAGGAATTGGCTCATGAAAGTAAAAGTTATCTAAGACCCATGAAACTAATGATGCAGCCCTTCTCTGGACAATACCACAACTCCCAGAAACTGTCTCACAGATACACTGTTCTTCCTAAGCAAAGAGTATATTTCCTTCAGGATTTCTTTCCAACTCTTGTAAAAAAACTTCTTTAGCAAGATGATAAGCTGGAGTTTTCCTAAGACTCTAAAGAATCATAGATAAAGAATGCCTAGAATGTGAGATCTAGGCTGTCTAACCTGCTTTCAAATCCACAAAGAAAATGCCCTCCAGCTAATATAGTTCAAGGTCAAAGGAGATTTCAAATGTGCTAATTAAAATGAGAGATATTGCTTGAGCAGAGGAAAACTAATTTTTGTTCACACATTATGAGAGTGATTCATGAATAAGTGGGATAACGTGTCAGACTGTATCCCAGACCTTAGTTGCTTATCAGAAGTTAAGCGTTTGCTCAAAACTATGAGATATCATCTCACACCAGTCAGAATGGCCATCATCAAAAAATCTGGAAACAATAAATGCTGGAGAGGGTGTGGAGAAAAGGGAACACTCTTGTACTGTTGGTAGGAATGTAAATTGATACAGCCACTATGGAGAACAGTATGGAGATTCCTTAAAAAACTAAAAATAGAACAACCATACGACCCAGCAATCCCACTACTGGGCATATACCCTGAGAAAACCATAATTCAAAAAGAGTCATGTACCAAAATATTCATTGCAGCTCTATTTACAATAGCCAGGACATGGAAGCAACCTAAGTGTCTATTGACAGATGAATGGATAAAGAAGATGTGGCACATATATACAATGGAATATTACTCAGCCATAAAAAGAAACGAAATTGAGTTATTTGTAGTGAGGTGGATGGACCCAGAGTCTGTCCAATAAAGATGTTTAAAAAAAAGGCAAAAATAAAATAAAATAAAATGAATGACTAATAAGAACCTGCTGTATAAAAAATAAATAAAATAAAATTTGGAAAAAAAAAGAAGTTAAGCATTTGCCTACATCAAACCAAATCACCAAAATATAATCTCATAATAAAAGTGAAATTGAAGTCAAAAGGAGGGGCTCTCCTGGTGGTGCAGTGGTTAAGAATCCACCTGCCAAAGCAGGGGACACGGGTTTGAGCCCTGATCTGGGAAGATCCCACATGCCGCGGAGCAACTAAGCCGATGCGCCACAACTATTGAGCCCGCGAGCCACAACTACTGAAGCCCGTGCGCCTAGAGCCCATGCTCCGCAACAAGAGAAGCCACTGCAATGAGAAGCCTGTGCACCGCAATGAAGAGTAGCCCCCGCTCGCCACAACTGGAGAAAGCCCATGCAGCAATGAACACCCAATGCAGCCAAAAATAAAATTAATTAATTAAAAGAAAAAAGAATGATTCAAAAAAGTCAAAAGGAAATCAACATCAGGTAAGCATCAGCACCATGGATTCTATAAGCCTAAGATCGCTTTGGATGTGGTGGAATGTGTGAGCTGCTAACAAAGAAATGTGTGTGGCAAGGAGCCAGCAAGTGTCGGAGGCAAATCTCTTAAAAGCAAAACTGGAATTTGAGCAACATGCCCTGATCCCAGCCAGCACCTCTTACCTTAGCAGGGCTTGAGGAGTACATGTGCAGAGACTGGAAGGTGCTGGTGTAAAAGAAACTGCCAGAAGGTGAGCTGAAGTAAGACACAGGGGCCTGAGGACACCTGGAGGTCAGGTGGGTGCATCGGCAAACATGAGGTAGCTGGGGAGCGCTGTCAGAAAGCCACAGGTGAGCCTTCCTTAAAGTTGACGGATTTGGCTCGTTAGCAGCAGCCACTCTGCGGTAGCGTTTTCTGAACAAGGGCCTGGGTAGGCGGTGGTTTGAAGGACTGAGCTGCAGGGCAGCCCTGTTTACACAAGCAGAGCCTAGAGCAGCCCTGCCCCTTCACCCCATCAATCACCAGCAGTGGCTTCATCTCCTAGGGCACTAATGCCATTTGTTGATGCCCCAAAACCACACAGAGTAGGCGTCCACCAGATTACAACTTGTTTTCATATAGGTTGAAAATACTCAGACATAAAAAGATTGAGACTTGTGAAAAATCACATGGTTTCCTAAGGCTATAGATTCTCAACTCGGAGAATAGAGGATATATTATAAGCATTGTCATTTGAAGAGATAATTAAATTTATGCTACCAAAACACGCAGAAGAAGAGTATTTTAGAAGTTTGTTAGGAAATGAATAAAAAAATCACATTATTTTCCTAGATTTTCTGTTTGGGGTATTTTTAGCTATTTAATATTTATAATGTGCTATCCCGTCTTTTCTCATTCTAAATAAATATTTGCAGTCATTTGTAACTTTGTGTTTTTCTTAAAGAGCATCTCCGCCATTGTATAAACTTAAGGACCTACAGATCGCCTGCATCAGCTCCGGACTGTCTACCCACCCCACCAAATGTAAGATCCAATCCCTGCATTTGTTCAGTGGAGAAAAACTTCTCTCTGCTTAGTTAGCAAAGGAATTTAAGTGAAGGATGCTGTGAATGTTTGGGATTAAAAGTGAAATGGCTTTGTATCAAAGGTGAGCATAAAGTTCAGTTGTTTAGGCTACATCGGTTACAGTGTTCAGCTACTACTTATCCTAAGGAAATGGGTGAGCAGCAGAAATAAACTGATGGGTATGTTTAAAACACACTGCCAGTTTGTTTTCTGTATCTGTGAGTCTGTTTCTGTTTTGTTATATTTGTTCATTTGTTTCCTTTTTTAGATTCTACGTATAAGTGAAAACATACATTATTTGTCTTTCTCTGTCTGACTTATTCCACTAAGCATAATACACTCTAGATCCATCCATGTTGTTACAAATGGCAAATTTTTTTCATGGCTGAGTAATATTCCATTGTGTATATATACCACATCTTCTTTATTCATTCATCTGTTGATGGGCACTTAGGTTGCTTCCGTATCTTTGCTATTGTAAATAGTGCTGCTATGAACATTGGGATGCATGTATCCTTTCGAATTAGTGTTTTCATTTGTATAAATACTCAAGAGTGGAATTGCAGGGTCATGTGGTACAGAGAGCAAACTAGCAGAGAGGGGTTGAGGGAGGGGCAAGGTAGGTGAAGGGGATTAAGATGTACAGAATACTAGGTATAAAATAAAGTTACAAGGATGTAATGTACAGCACAGGGAATGTAGCCAATATTTTATAACTTTATATGGAGTACAATCCATAAAAATAGCAAATCAATTCACTATGTTGTACCCTTGAAACTAATATAATATCACAAGTCAACTGTACTTTAATTAAAAAACAAAAAAACCACTCTCCCAGCCAATTTGATCGTATTTTTGCATCATCAAATCATGATGTTTTCATCAAGACAAACTTCACTAGTCTCTTCTCTCCAACTTCTCCTTTTCACTCAGAGGTATATTGAAAACTGTGAAGTGAGAGGTAGAGTGATCCCCAGGAAGTTTTCTTTCTACCTGTGAGAGGTGACCAAGCCTGGTTTTCCCACGTCTACATCAGGTTATTGTAGCTGCTGTCTAGACAGTCAATGGATAGATATGGGGTCATGAGAGTGATCCTCCTTCTTCCGGTCCTCTCAACTCTCTGAGGTGTTTTGAGCTAAAAGATGGTAGTATGTTTTGTTAAAGTAATCAAACAAGGAGGTGGCTCTAATGCCGTGGTAGCCTACATAAGCAGACCAAAAACTAAGCCAGAGTTAATGCACTGGAATCCAAGAAAATGAAACAACCAGCCACAAATAGCCAACTGGGCTTTCCCAAATAAGGCAATCGCTTCAGCTATAGTCAATCAAATCATTTCCTTGCTCTGCTTCTGCATCTTCTCTATTTAAAAAAATCCCTAGCTCCTGTCAGTGGAGCACTCCTAACCACTGTCAGTTTGGTGCTGCCTGATTTGAATCGATGTTTGCTCAAATAAATTCTTGGAAAAAAAAAAATGTTAATATGCCTCAGTTTACCTGTTAAGTTTCTAAACCCACTCACTGTAGATTAAAATTGAAAGTGGCAGCCTCAGTCCTGTCTTGGTTCACAACTCGTATTCCTACAACTTTTCCCACTCTATCCCCATCCCAGTGTCCTATACCCCAGTAAGCAAACTCTCCTGCATGGTGATGATGATGATGATGATGATGTCTGATATTAATTGAACACTTACTAGAACACATTATTCTTAGCACTTGTTCATATTATCCCATTAATCATCACAACCATACTTGGAGATATGTACTGTTCTTATTACTGTTTGACCAATGGGGAAACTGAGACTTAAGATTCCTTAACCAAAGTCACAGATTGCAAGTGGCAGAGTGCGGTACACTTACATAACCATAAACCCTTAAATATTAGAATGTAACTCCAGGAGGTGGAAATCTTGTTGGTTTTGTTCTTTGCTATAGACACTATAATGTTTGTTGAGTGAATGAATGACTTAAAGTAGAGCATACCTAGAGATCATTAAGATAGAGATTCCCCAGAGAGGTTTGGTAGAATGGAAGGAGATGGGTGGATCAGGTGAAAAACAATGAGATCCTCCAGTTAGTTGGGCCATAACTTGGAGAGCAAATCTATACAACTGGGACTCATAGGTATGTGTGGATATATGGGCAGGGGTGAAGGCAGGTATACATAATTGTTATATTTTGTGCTTTGTGGCTATTGAAACATCCTTAATGACTTTACTAGTTATTAGCAGCAGGCTTTTTTCCCCAGATGATTTTTTTTTTTGATATTTAACTTGAAAATAGTAACAAGTAGCCCTAAAGCTGGCTCATTTAATTCCATCATCATGGCTATGGTTACTGAAAAGCAGTTGAGGATTATTATTTTAGGATTTATTTCTTAAAATATCAAAATTGTGTGATATTATCACTCTGATGTAAATACACTCATCATCTGTTAGTTCTTTTGATTTATTCTCTACATCATGCTCCTCTTTGCCATATACGTTTTCTTATCACTTTTCGGACTTCTTAACACTTTTTTTTTTCTTAAAAAAAAATCTAATTTCCTTGAAATTCATTCCTCCTTTTTCTTGTCCTAGTCATCATGAATAAATTGTGTATGTATGAAGGCGCCAGTGTATATAAACGATGGGAAGCAGAATACATTAAACTGACACTGTCAGTCTTCTTTCAACACCAACCTCACAAGCATAAATTTCCTTTTTTTAAGAAAGAAAACCCTTCCACAAAAAGGCATTCTCAACTATTTAAGACCAGTTTTCTGGGGTTATATTCCAAATAAGTGCCAAAACTTGTAATTTAATAAGTGAGAAATAGTTTTATACCCAGAAACTTTCAAGGGAAAATATTTATTACCTGGGTGGATGGGTTCACTCCGGAGGAACCAGCTGAAGACAGACAGAGGTAGCACAGGGGGTTTCCTGCAAAAGAGTATTTATTGCTGGTCTTATTTAAGCATTGGCTTTTGTTGTAAAGTTAGAGGGCAGTTGACCTGGATGAAAATGGCCCTTAGATATAATGAAATCATACTTAACAATTGAGACATTCTTTATCTAAAAGATTCTTAAAAATAACCTTCTGAGTAAATATTAGTAACATTTGAAATATGAACAATTTAATAATAATGCTTGAAACTTTTCAACAGCTATATATAGCAGCCATCAGTGAATTAATATTTTGTTCCTATTATTTAACTAATGAGTAGTGTCTATTAAGGACAGAAATATAGGTATATAGTACTTTGTAAACCTGGTGAAACACCAAATATTGTTGGACACTAGCTTTTCATGTTTAGGAGTCATATACCTGGAGGGCAAGCAGGCCACTACCTGCCACAGCTGACAAGACAAGATGAAGAACGAGGAGATTATTTTCCTTGACATGGATTTATTATTCAACTGATTAATTTCTCAAGTCTGAAATTAAGTGAACTGATAAAATAAGAAATTTCTTATAAATATGACAGAGGGATTCACAAAATTTTACTTAGAATTTTCATAGATGCATCAATTTGTCTTTACTTCTAATTCTAACATTTACAGCAGATGCTAAGCATGAGGTTTTGATTGATACCAGGAAAAACAGTCACAGCCAAGGTAACAGGGCTCTTACTCTGTCAGGTTTTTAGTGACATGAGTAAAGGTTTTAGATTAAAGGTTACAGCTTACTTTCAGAGCTCTTTCCACACATAGTATTATTTTACAGATAACTTCCTTTCCCACTCTCTGAAGTTCCCATCTTCCTCAGAGAAGTTGAGAGCCGGGAGATAAATGAAGCAAGAGACACAGAGAGAGGGAAGGGTGAGGCTGAAAAGATTTGGGTTGAGATTCAAACAGCCCAGGAGTCGTCAATAACATTTTTAACATTTGTTAAATGTTAAAAAAAATTAACATATAGCCATATAATAGATTATACTCCCAAATCTTATATGTGAGGCTGTTAGTCTTAGAAACACACAGAGGAATGTTGGCTAAACCTTGGGGAGTTATATTCCTGTAGATTATATTTGGAGAAGAGATACTGAAATACATAAATGATTTGGGAGATAATGGATTGCTATACGTAATTCACTGGAAAAAGTTTGCCTATATCTTAAACTTAAATCATCATTTCCAAAAGTGCATATGTTCGCCAAACCTGTTAATTTGAATATATAATCCATATTTTCTTTCTGAAAATTGTGGAAATGCTAAAAAACAGTTGTCATAAAAGTTAAATTTTCACCTCTTGAACACTAGATTTTGTGTATCCCCCAAAATTAGTCTTAAACATCATGGTTTTTCATGATCTAAATAACAGAATGAAGACTGAAATAAACTAATCATCTTGACTTTTTCAAATAGCCGCGTTTGTTTTTTATAAAACAACATGAGGTGGGATGAATTGGGAGACTGGGATTGACATATATACACTAATATGTATTAAATGGATAACTAATAAGAACCTGCTGTATAAAAAACTAAATAAAATAAAATTCAAAAATAAAAAAAACAACATGAGGTCACTGACTGTAATTGTTTTTCTGTATGAAATTCTTCAGTGAGTTCAACCCGTCAGTCACGTATAGCTGTTTTGCCTGAAAATAACTCTCTTGCTAATTTTTTACATACATTTTGGCATCAAATTTCAGCATAACAAAAACACAAAGTTAACATTTATATTAGCTGATTTTTAAGGTTTGAAGTAACTGAATAGAAAAGTAAAAGAGAACAGAAAATTAAGAGGAAGATAAGTATTAATAAAAAAGAAAGAGCAGAAATTTAGATTATTGCCTTGAAACCACATGGTCAGATGTTAGACTATTTATTTATTTGTTTATTTATTTATTTACTTTTAAGATTAGGGAAGATGTTTTATGGCCACTAGCTATTCATTGTGTGGATTGTCATTTAGATGCAATTTTGCTTATTCAAGTAGCAATGTCCTGCTCTACAGTACACACACCTGAGCTCATCATAATTAGTCTCACACACACCATTCATAAAATTGTATTAGACTGCTTTTTTTTTTTTTTTTTTTTGCGGTACGCAGTCCTCTCACTGTTGTGGCCTCTCCCATTGCGGAGCACAGGTTCCGGACGCGTAGGCTCAGCGGCCATGGCTCACGGGCCTAGCCGCTGCGCCGCATGTGGGATCCTCCTGGACCGGGGCACGAACCCACGTCCCCTGCATCGGCAGGCGGACTCCCAACAACTGCGCCACCAGGGAAGCCCTAGACTGCTTTTTAAAAGCTATTTTTCTATTAATATAACCTGCAGAGCCATCCGCAGAACCCTCTGTTTAGAGGTGACCATCAGTCTGACGTTTCCAGTTATCAATTCTTTGTTTTTCTTTATATTTTTATCATTATTATATGTATCCCTAATAACATAGATTAGTTTTGCCTGTGTTTTAAAATTCTTTCTAAATGGAATCATACTTCATGAACTTTTGCTTTTTGCCCAACCTTAAGTTATTAGATTCATCCATGTTACTGTGTGTCTTTATAGTCTATTCTCTTCTAGTGCTGTGCAGTATTTCATTGTATCAATATATCACAGTCTAGTTATCCATCCCATTGTTAATGGGCATTTTTATTATTTTCAGTTTAAGACTTTTTTTTTTTTTTTTTTTTTTTTTTTTTGCGGTACGCGGATCTCTCACTGTCGTGGCGTCTCCCGTTGCGGAGCGCAGGCTCCAGACACGCAGGCTCCGGACCCGCAGGCTCAGCGGCCATGGCTCACAGGCCCAGCCGCTCCACGGCATGTGGGATGTTCCGGACTGGGGCACGAACCCGTGTCCCCTGCATCAGCAGGCGGACTCTCAACCACAGCGCCACCAGGGAAGCCCAGATGGCATTTTTTAAATGTCTTTTATCAAGATGGTTGGCCAAGCAAATAATTTTCCAGTTCCATCGGTTTCATCTGTTTACTTGTTTATTTTTAGGTTGGTTGGTGGGCATTTTTTCCTGTGCCATAATTCTTCTTTGTGCATGGTTCCCTGACTCTTTACAACACTTTTCCCTCACACAGTGTCCTTTCCTGATCTAACTCTTCCTCATCCTTCAAGACAGACCAGGAATCATCTTAGGAAGTCTTATCCCACTGCATTCCTAAACAATCATAGTTGGTGTCCCCCATACACTTTATAGCAGACAGAAAAGGTATACTTAACAACCTAAGTATTGTCGGGGTGCTAGCTAATATGACTAGACACGCAGGCCAGTAAGAACAGATGCCAGCTGTAAACAACCAGGACTGGTGTGTACTGAGTAAGTATTAGCTATGCTCGAAGCGTGTACTACAATCAGGTGGAGAACATGTGCACACTATCACAGTATACTGTTCAATAATTTGAGTAATCTGTCACATCATATGGACAGGGAGCAATCATACTCACCCTGGAATCTTATGTTGCATGAATTCTTGGTGCAAAGAAAGCCCCAATAAATATTTTTTGAATGAAAGAAAATCTGTATGGAAGGGATTGCCTCAAATTTTCATTAAATAAATCACGTCTTATTCCTTCACAGCTTTAACCTCTGGAAGTTCATAAACAATGAATTCACTTCACTCACCCTGTTGTAACACCTCTGCTGAACTTTTGAACAAATCCTGGAATCCAGAGTTTGCTTATCAAACCCTCAGCATGGTGGATACAGCCATCCTCCCTTCCATGGTTGGGATTATCTGTTCAATGGGGCTGGTTGGCAACATCCTCATTGTATTCACTATAATAAGGTAAGGGCTTCTTTTTCTCTTCTGTAATTTAGGGACATGCTATACTCCTTCAATGAGTCCTTTTCCCCCTGTAGGATTTTTCTTAATGAAATCAGGTTTTGGAAATATTTGCTTAAGGTAATTAAAGAAGTTCTACAGATATTTTCATCATGTATTAAGTAACATCTGAGTCGCAGATGTCAAAATGTCAGTGCTTACTGTTGAGTCAGTGAATTTTTAGAGCAGTGATTCTCATTTTTAGCTACATATTAGAATCACCACAGGGACTTCCCTTGTGGTCTAGTGGCTGAAAATCTGCCTTCAATGCAGGGGACGCGGGTTCAATCCCTGGTGGGGGAACAAAGATCCCACATGCCGCAGGGCAATTAAGTCCGTGCACCACAACTACTGAGCCCGCACACCACAACTACTGAGCCCACACACTGCAACTAGAGAGAAGCCCGCACACCGCAACAAAAGATCCCACATGCCCCTGATGCAGCCAAAAATAAACAAATATTTAAAAATTAAAAAAAAGAATCACCACAGAGCTTTTAAAAATCCTAATACAGAGTTTCACCCCAGACCAATTAACTCAGAATCTCTGGCAGTGGAGCCCAGGCAAGAACTGAAACTGCAAGGCAACCATTTTATCTTCCGGCAATAAGAGCTACCCTAAGAGGCTGACCTGGCCTGACTGGTAAAAGAGAGTCTTTTGTACTCACTTAGACAAGAGAGATACTCTACCTGATCTACTGCCAAAGATTCAGGCAGTCATACGTGGTGGGCTGCTCCCCTCAGTATGGACCACCCAGTGCGGGCCAAACTGAGAGGCACCTGCTCGCTAGTAACTCTCGCCTTTGCTTCATGTCCCCCACTTCATTCAGCTAATTTCCTGCTTCCCCTCAAACCTAGAGCCTAAGGTTTAACTTGGAGCATAAGAACAGATTACGGTCAGCCCTCAGTACCCATGGGCTCTGTTTCCATGGGTTCCACATCTGAGGCTTCAAGCAATCGTCAAAAATATGTGGCAAAAAATTCCAGAAAGCTCCAAAAAGCAAAGCTTGAATTTACCATGCCCTGGCAGCTATTTCCATAGCATTTCCATTGTATTTACAACTAATTACAGAGTATTTACATAGTATTAGGTATTATAAGTAATCTAGAGACGATTTAAAATATTAGGGAGAATGTGTATAGGTTATGTGCAAACACTACACCATTTTATAGAAGGAACTTGAGCATCTGTGGATGTTGGTATGGGTGGGGGGCAGCTGTCCTGAACCGATCCTTCATGGATACTGAGGGACCATTGCACTCGTCCTCTACTGGCTTGACAAAAATGAATTTAGAGTTAGTGTACACATGCCCCATCACTACATGATACCTTTGCTATCCTGATTATTTTCACATTTAAGGTTTACTTGTTTTAATACACATAAGGTGTTAAAAAAAAATTTGTCCTGGTCTCCGATCATACTTACAGCCACGATTTTAAAAGATTTTTGTCCATATTTATAAATTATAAAACACATTCTAACTTACTACCAAAAAGGTGTTTTCAGCATTATATTAACACATAACTAAACCAAACTTTTGTGTAGCATATTACACTTACAGAGCACAGTTGTAAACTCATTCACTCCTCAAAATGGCAATACTCATTTGAGGAAAGAGGCCCAGGAGAGAAAATAATTTGTCTAGCATTACACAGCTGGTAAGTAACAGTCTTAGCACTTGAACTCAGATCCCATGATTCTAAACTCCAGGCTATATGCTCCATAATAATAACATCAAACAAATCATCAAAACTAGAAAGATGGTTGGAGTTACCACGTGGATGGAAGAATTCTCACAGGACCAATTAAAAGCAGGAGCAGCCCTCGGGAGAGTGACAGGATGACACTCACTATCCCTGAGAAAGCTCATCACTGGTCACTTTCCCCAGCTGGCTTCTCAACTTTTTATTGTCATTATCTCTGTAGTTAAGTGTAGTGTATCAATGGCATTTTTTTATGACATTCATAATTGAAGATTTATTTGGCATACTGGAATTCTACTCTTAATGAATTCAGACATTCCTTACTGTGTCCTGTAAAACCATTTGTGAATATCAAGCATTTAAAATTATTTTGTAAGTACTAGAAGCAGTTCCACTCAATATGTATTACTAAACACCTATCGCATGCCCAGAACTATTCTAAGAGTTATGCAAATACCAAATAAATATGGTAGCATCTGACTCTAAAAAGTTCATGGTTTACTGGAGAAGACAAGATTTAAATACATTAACTCATTTGAAAAATAATACAAGATATTAAAAACAAGTGGGTGAAAAAAGGTGATTCAAAGAACAAGTTCCAGGAACAGAGATGAAAGTAATCAAATATTCTCAGAAAGCCTCAGGAGGCAATAATGTGAAGTAGAAAGTTAACAGTCAGAGACCTGGGAATGTTTCCAGCTCACCCTGTTTGTCTGTTGCACCTGCTCACTTCTCCTTCCATCTTTCTCTCTTGCCCCTCAGTATTTTTGCTGTCCCCTCCTAAAGATACAAGCAGTGTGCCTCATGCCTGAGAGCCTTGGTCCCACTGTTGAGAAACCAAGTCCTTAGAAGGTGTAGCCCTCCAGAAATGGTTGCATTTTTACAGACACCTTTTATATGCAGACTGGTCAGTGTGAAATTCAGGCCCTGTGACAGGCTGTTGAAATATCTGGAGCCAGAGAAACTTCTTGGTCCTCCTCAAGTTACACCAATAGACAATGGCCTGATTCCACCCACTCATATGGAGACAAAGCTTGAAAAAAAAAAAAAGAAATGTGGAATGTGAATTCTTCTAAAAGTCAATACTGAGCTATAATTCCCAGACACAGATTCTCAACATAAAGCAAATAGTCATTAAACTGGAAAAAAAAAAAAGAGAGAGAACCTGAGCCATAATACTGACAAATTTATTTGCAATGATTGTGAAAAAATCTGCTACTTCTTCATACCATTACAATTTTATAGATAATAAGTAAGAAGATATATGTTAATGGAACTTTTAAGATGAATCCTTTAATCTTTCAAAAAACATCTGAAGCAACTTAATTTTTATTTTTATTGCTAGGATGTTGATATTTTTCTTTGCAAATTACTCTTCAAAAATTTATTAATCTCTCAAAAGTATTTGAAAGTAAATTAGTTTTAATTTTTTTCAGCTTGGAATTTATCTAACAGTTTTTTTAATTGCTCTCCAAAAAATGTAAGACAATTTATATTAATATTTTTATCATACCTTGCCATGATCTTTTATTTTTCTTTTTATTTTTTTAACATCTTTATTGGAGTATAATTGCTTTACAATGGTGTGTTCGTTTCTGCTTTATAACAAAGTGAATCAGTTATACATATACGTATGTTCCCATATCTCTTCCCTCTTGTGTCTCCCTCCCTCCCACCCTCCCTATCCCACCCCTCCAGGCGGTCACAAAGCACCGAGCTGATCTCCCTGTGCTATGCGGCTACTTCCCACTAGCTATCCATTTTACGTCTGGTAGTGTATATACGTCCATGCCACTCTCTCACTTTGTCACAGCTTACCCTTCCCCCTCCCCATATCCTCAAGTCCATTCTCTAGTAGGTCTGTGTCTTTATTCCCATCTTATCCCTAGGTTCTCCATGACCTTTTTTTTTTTTTTCCCTTAGATTCCATATATGTGTTAGCATAGACTATTTGTTTTTCTCTTTCTGACTTACTTCACTCTGTATGACAGACTCAAGGTCCATCCACCTCACTACAAATAACTCAATTTCGTTTCTTTTTATGGCTGAGTAATATTCCATTGTATATATGTGCCACATCTTCTTTATCCATTCATCCGATGATGGACACTTAGGTTGCTTCCATATCCTGGCTATTGTAAATACAGCTGCAATGAATATTTTGGTACATGACTCTTTTTGAATTATGGTTTTCTCAGGGTATATGCCCAGTAGTGGGATTGCTGGGTCATATGGTAGTTCTATTTTTAGTTTTTTAAGGAACTTCCATACTGTTCTCCATAGTGGCTGTATCAATTTACATTCCTACCAACAGTTCAAGAGGGTTCCCTTTTCTCCACACCCTCTCCAGCATTTATTGTTTCCAGATTTTTTGATGATGGCCATTCTGACCGGTGTGAGATGATATCTCATTGTAGTTTTGATTTGCATTTCTCTAATGATTAATGATGTTGAGCATTCTTTCATGTGTTTGTTAGCAATCTGTATATCTTCTTTGGAGAAATGTCTGTTTAGGTCTTCAGCCCATTTTTGGATTGGATTGTTTGTTTTTTTGTTATTGAGCCGCATGAGCTGCTTGTAAATTTTGGAGATTAATCCTTTGTCAGTTGCTTCATTTGCAAATATTTTCTCCCATTCTGAGGGTTGTCTTTTGGTCTTGTTTATGGTTTCCTTTGCTGTGCAAAAGCTTTAAGTTTCATTAGTTCCCATTTGTTTATTTTTGTTTTTATTTTCATTTCTCTAGGAGGTGGGTCAAAAAGGATCTTGCTGTGATTTAGGTAATAGAGTGTTCTGCCTATGTTTTCCTCTGAGTTTGATAGTGTCTGGCCTTACATTTAGGTCTTTAATCCACTTTGAGTTTATTTTTGTGTATGGAGTTAGGAAGTGTTCTAATTTCAAACTTTTACATGTACCTGTCCAGTTTTCCCAGCAACACTTATTGAAGAGGCTGTCTTTTCTCCATTGTATATTCTTGCCTCCTTTATCAAACATAAGGTGACCATATGTGCGTGGGTTTATCTCTGGGCTTTCTATCCTGTTCCATTGATCTATATTTCTGTTTTTGTGCCAGTACCATATTGTCTTGATTACTGTAGCTCTGTAGTATAGTCTGAAACAGGGAGCCTGATTCCTCCAGTTCCATTTTTCATTCTCAAGATTGCTTTGGCTATTCGGGGTCTTTTGTGTTTCCATACAAATTGTGAAATTTTTTGTTCTAGTTCTGTGAAAAATGCCAGTGGTAGTTTGATAAGGATTGCATTGAATCTGTAGATTGCTTTGGGTAGTAGAGTCATTTTCACAATGTTGATTCTTCCAATCCAAGAACATGGTATATCTCTCCATCTATTTGTATCATCTTTAATTTCTTTCATCAGTGTCTTATAATTTTCTGCGTACAGGTCTTTTGTCTCCTTAGGTAGGTTTATTCCTAGATATTTTATTCTTTTTGTTTCATTGGTAAATGGGAGCGTTTTCTTAATTTCACTTTCAGATTTTTTATCATTAGTGTATACAAATGCCAGAGATTTCTGTGCATTAATTTTGTATCCTGCTACTTTACCAAATTCATTGATTAGCTCTAGTAGTTTTCTGGTGGCATCTTTAGGATTCTCTATGTAGAGTATCATGTCATCTGCAAACAGTGACAGCTTTACTTCTTCTTTTCCGATTTGGATTCCTTTTATTTCTTTTTCTTCTCTGATTGCTGTGGCTAAAACTTCCAAAACTATGTTGAATAATAGTGGTGAGAGTGGGCAACCTTGCCTTTTTCCTGATCTTAGTGGAAATGGTTTCAGTTTTTCACCATTGACGATGATGTTGGCTGTGAGTTTGTCATATATGACCTTTATTATGTTGAGGAAAGTTCCCTCTATGCCTACTTTCTGCAGGGTTTTTATCATAAATGGGTGTTGAATTTTGTCGAAAGCTTTCTCTGCATCTATTGAGATGATCATATGGTTTTTCTCCTTCAATTTGTTAGTATGGTGTATCACGTTGATTGATTTGCATATATTGAAGAATCCTTGCATTCCTGGAATAAACCCCACTTGATCATGGTGTATGATCCTTTTAATGTGCTGTTGGATTCTGTTTGCTAGTATTTTGTGGAGGAGTTTTGCATCTGTGTTCATGAGAGATATTGCCCTGTAGTTTTCTTTTTTTGAGACATCTTTGTCTGGATTTGGTATCAGGGTGATGGTGGCCTCATAGGATGAGTTTGGGAATGTTCCTCCCTCTGCCATATTTTGGAAGAGTTTGAGAAGGAAAGGTGTTAGCTCTTCTGTAAATGTTTGATAGAATTCACCTGTGAAGCCATCTGGTCCTGGGCTTTTGTTTGTTGGAAGATTTTTAATCACAGTTTCAATTTCAGTGCTTGTGATTGGTCTGTTCATATTTTCTATTTCTTCTTGGTTCAGTCTCAGCAGGTTGTGCATTTCTAAGAATTTGTCCATTTCTTCCAGGTTGTCCATTTTATTGGCATAGAGTTGCTTGTAGTAATCTCTCATGATCCTTTGTATTTCTGCAGTGTCAGTTGTTACTTCTCCTTTTTCATTCCTAACTATTGATTTGAGTTTTATCCCTTTTTTTCTTGATGAGTCTGGCTATGCCATGATCTTTTATTTGTTACCTTCTTAACATATAGATTGCTCAAACTATGAAGACTACACTAAAAATAAGGAGAACTAGATGCATTTAAAGAAGATTTAGGACTTTCCCATTTATGATAAATACTTGTATCAAAAGAGAATGAATAGAACAATAGTAAGATCATTAGTGATGCTGGAAAGCAAGAAATGAACTAACTTCTGACTTTGCCAAAGGAAGACTACAAAAATGTATGAAAGAATAGATTTACGGAAGGTGGAGCTTCCAGAATAAGGTGTCCTATGTGACTTTTTTTTTTTTTAAGAATCGATTTGTGCATTAGGAGGGTGACTATAAAGTAGTGAAGCCAGATATTACTACTCAGTCATACTTTAAATTCACAGCAGGTCTAAAGGAAGCCAGATTTTAAAATGTAGGAGGAAAACTGGGCCAATTAAAACGTAAAATTTTCCCCTTTTGCTCTTGGGAGAGAGACTTATGAACTCAGCCCCATTACTCAACTATTGTCCATGGCCACAGTGGGTCCTGGGAAACTCCTTCAATAAAGGTGATGATGTTTCTCTCCGTCAGTCCCCCACCCCCATGTTTTGGACATATCTTTCTCCTGTCTACTGACAGACGGCTTTGAGTGGGCAGAGGCTATCTAAAGGATGCCTTGTCTCCCTATAAACAAAACGTTCCCATTCTTTCATTCCCTGCCCTCAACTGGCTGTCAAGTAAACTAATTTACACTAAATCATGAATTACTGAAACATCTTACTTTTTAACCCCTCCCCATGGTGT